AAGAAACTTGATAAAGAGGAAGGAATTATCTTTACTCTCGAAATAATGTCCTTACTGATGAATGAGATTTGAAAGACGTGGCGATTTGAAATTTCCTCAAGCTAGTCCAATATCACTAATGAGTATTACAATTACATAATCAATAACTTATACAAATTGTTCGTGTTTTTTTCTAATAGTGTTTTTTCAACAAAGCACAGACGAATTCGTCTACAAAAAGGCCACTAAAATATTTCTTTTATCGAATTTTTACATCATTGTTTATTTGATCGCCGCTACGTCAGCTTGTTCAGCAGATGATTATCAAATTCATGTTACATGTGTCATTTTTTGAGTTAAGGATATCCAAGTACTTTAGCTATTTTTTCCCAAGTGAAATACTTTTCTACTTTTGTAGTCGAACATCAGGGCTTTCATTTGAGCCCCATTTGACCCTAAGTTTCCGAACATTTTACAATGATTTTATTATTTAAACTTTGCAGCTCTGGATTTGAATCTCGATATTGAACTGTTTAAACTCATTTTAAAAATCCGGAAAAAAATAAGAAAGTTTACTTTTGGAGGAAGATTGATGAAATAATTTACAAATTGCAGTTTTTGAAAATTACGAGTATTTTCTATAAATAATTTATAAACCATCAATTTTCCACCAAAAAAATCATTTGTTCGGAATCGTAATAAATTTATTCGTATTCAGCTTTCCGAAAATTTAAACAATTTCAATTATTTATTTATGAACAACGAAAGTTTAAAAAAATAATAATTCTGTGTAAAATGTGATTTTAATGACAAACATTAAAAGATGCTTGGATATCTTTAAATCGTACTACGAAAAATAACAGATCGATTCTTCAATTCTGTCAAATACTCGATTATTTCGTGCTTTCGTAATTTTAAAAAGAATTTTCATGGAAAAAATTTTCATGTCTACAAATAACTTTGCAAACCAAAAAATCTGAATTCATTGAAGATTCAAAGGCCATTCAAGCTGTCGTGAGGCCGACCAATTTGGCAGTCCTGGCTTTCAAATGGAATGTAGCAATTATCCTCACACACTCTCACACAATAATCATCCCTCAATAAACAATACAGTCGGCAGATACTATTAATTCCGATCTGATTCATCTGTTCTGTGAACAAAATTAATTTCTCCCCCCAATTTTAAAAAATTTCGATCGCCCAATTTTCCGCAATTCATTATTATTCCCAACGATAAACTTGAAAAATTAACAAAATACGTTGATAATTTTGCGCAGTGGTAATTCAATCCAATTGTTTTAACAATCAATGGGCAATTGAATCACTTCGAACCATTATTTACATAGATATTTTCTTATCGTCACACGTATTCAAAAATTCATCTAATAAAATGCATTTTTTATACAGTTCATGTTTCTCATATATATTCATTCTTTTATAGATACAATATAATTCGCGATTTATTTCCTCTTAATTTTCATCTACGAGCCTAATTAATTCTCCAATTTTTTTGTCGTCAAGTACAGTATTTCGTAGAAATAAAAAGATAAGGAGTAATTAAAAAAAAACGATACCTAAAATAAAATGGGCAAGATTACTTGAAATGAATATGTCACCCCCAGAGAGTGCCATAACAATAATTCCCATATTTGTTTTAGGTACATGGAGCATGGCAAATATATTGCAAATATTTATTTTCTTTTTTGTTCCATAAATCGATAGAAATGTAAAATAGCTGCCATATCTGCATTCTTTATTTCTCATGTAAATACTATGATATATATATTTTATTTTTTGTTTCATACATACAATATAATCTCGAGTGACGAGGAAACACGATATTACGAAGCGATTGTACAAAATGTTTTCTTACCTAATGCTATTTAATCCTCTCTATCGATTTTTTTTCCACCTCGCTCTGCTCATCCATTTATTTTTTTATCTCGACGGGATAAGTATTATATACACTTGAAATTCTCTTAAATATCGATAATCAAAAGTCCCATCGAGTCGAAGACAAGATTAATTAAAAATTAATATTTATTTACAAGTTTTTTTGAAGTCGTTTTCCTTCGGTTATTGGCAGTTATTGCCTCTGAATATTTGCCACACGTTTGAACCCGCTTCGAGAATCATCGTCATCGCCATCATTACTTTCGATATCTGCTATTCTTCATTACTTTTTAGCTTTCATTTTAGGGGAGAAGTGGGCAAATGAGATGGGAAATAATTATTTCAGCTTCGAACAGGATTTAGTTCAGTTTTTGGTGAATATTTGGGGAATGTTGAGGGGATTGAGAAAAGGAGGATGAAATTCACATGAGGACCCTTCATTCAGTGTCTAGCATCAGTTTTTGCGGAATATTTTACGGAATTTAAGGGAAATAGAATCATTTTTGTAGAAGTTTTTTGAGCACTCATTTTTCACTGCAAAAAATAGAATCAATTTATCTTGAAATATCTTGAAATCTACCAAAAAGTTCTTATGAGGTTTTGTTTTAAATCTCTTAAAACAAAAACTCAATTTCACTTTCAAAATTACTTCTTGCTGAAAATCCCAGAATTTAATGGAGGTAGAATTTTTTTTTTGTGGAAACAGCTTCTTTTTTCGCTATAAAAAATATTCTCATCCATCGAAAATTGAGACTGAAGTTGGTTCATTCAGTTTTTAGTTCTCCAGAAATCTAAAGAAAAGTTCCTATCGAAATTTCCCTATCTCCCTTAGATTTTAGATGATCAAAAACAAAACCTCAACTTCACTTGCAAAATATCTTTCATTTTAACTTTATTTCGTACTGAATATTCCGGAATTTAAGGGAGATGGATTTTTTTTGCTGAAACAGATCTTATTTTCCTCTATAAAAAATGTCCTCATTGATCGAAAATTAATAGTGAATTCTTCATTCTCCTTTCAGATTGTGAAAAATATCTCGAAATCTCAACTTTCAATTCATCACTAAAAACAAAACAGAAACCTCACTTGGAATTTCTCCTTTAGATTTCAATATATTCACCAAAAAAAAAACCTCAACTTCACTTCCAAAATTCCTCCAACTGAAAATCCCAAAATCTAATGGAGGTAGTAAAAAAATTTGTGGAAAATCAGCGTTCTTTCTTCACTATAAAAAATGTCCTCATCCATCAAAAACTGTAACTGAAATCGGTTCAAACCCGTTTTCAGTTTTTCAGAAACCTCTCGAAATCCGAAAAAAAAGTTTTCATGAAAATGTCACCAGCTCCCTCGATCCCACTACACTGAGAGGACAAGAGTTATTTTAGAAGTACGTCTTTACTTGATCAACCAATTCATGGCTCGAAAATTACCAAGCGCACAATATCTCACACTAAGGAAAAAAAATCTTACACCAAAAAACTTATACTTGTCCGAAAGATGAGGGCAATTGGTTGATATCAAGAAAACGAGTTCTCAAATCAATTCAAGTGGTTTTTGCATTCACATATTTTAGAATTGCGGCAAAAAACTATTAAATGAATTACTTCAATTTCACTTGGTACAAGAAATCGCTTTCTTATCACCAAGGAATTGTCCTCGTCTTTAGGACAAGTACAAAATTTCTTGACGAAAGTTTTTTTTTCTTAGCGCAAGATATTCTGTTCTTGAAATCTTTCAAACTACAAGTTTCTTGATATAAGTGAAGATGTACTTCTAAAAAAACTTCGTTGTTGTCGTGTACATTCACCAAAAACTCCACCTCAACTTCACCTGCAAAGTCACTTCAATTCTCTAAGCAAGACAGTAAAATTTCTGTAGACCCATTTCGTCTCATAAAGCTCCAACAGAAATTTCACCATCTCCCTAAACCCCATCAGATTCTGATCAACTCACCACCTGTTCCAAAGCAATTTCTCACGTCCCGCTCTCCTCCCCCAAACCCTCGCTAAAAGAAACACTATCCTCTCTCTTAAAGCATCAACCCCCACCCACTACCACCCCACTACCAAATTGCCAACAAAAATACATGGAAGGCACGCTTCGTCTGCTGAGTACGCTTATGTTATACGCAACGATACCGTAATCATTATTTTTTTTCGATTTTTCAACTTTTTTCCCCTAAACGCCTAACAGGCCACTACTAAGAACACAGTACCACCAGTCTTTATCACAAGTACGTTCTCACCGTATACGTAATATAACCATCCACAGTGGCTCATTTCCCAACCTGGTGACACTCAATCCGGGAGACGAAAAATATCAATTAATAAAGCTAAAAAAATCCCCCCTCCCCTGAACTCAGCAATTGTACTCGACATTGCTCGATTTACGTTCGTTATCCTGTCTAATAACGGAAGCGTACAAATTTTCATTAGCAATAATCTGGTTATTGTACCGCTCATGCTGTAAACTATCGTAACTCGGATCCCTGACTGGTGTTGAACTCTTCATGAAAAAATGTTCATTAACAGTGGGATCATTGTCTAACGAGTGTCTAATTGTGGAAGCATTATGGTAATTAATGTCTGTACGATCCCAGGGTAGTGAGACACTCGACAAAGCCTCATTGGGTTGTGACACGTACATCATCATGTCGTTGAAATTGGGTAGAAATTCAGGATTGAACAGTGACAATGTACGTTTGTCTTTAGGATTTGTCGTTGGTATCATATAGTGCTCGTGGGATGTATCAACACTCTGGTAATCTTGATATCTACTCCGTGTTCTAGATGTTTTTGGTGGATTTGTTGGATTACTTTCGGCGATGGTTTCTTTGTAAGTCAGTCTTGCACGATTGTGGGACAATTGTTCGTCATTTTGGGGTACAATAAACTCGGGATTAACGACAATGTCGTAGCCTGGTGGATCGAATGCATCGTTCATGTGTCGTAAATCGATTTCGGAAGAACTGCATGAGACTGTTGATGCGGGTATTGATGTTTTCTTTGAGCTTGTCTTCTCGTAAATATTTTCGTTGTAGGAATTTTCGGATTCAGTTGCATCGGACGACGAGCCGGTGGATATCTGGGTATCGTCGTCTCGATCAGCCAAGCCTCACACGGCTCGACGTCTTCTGTATCATATGTACGTCTTCTTGACTTTTTGCATTGGTTTATTCTCAGCCGACGAATTGGCATTTTTACCGTTTGGATTTTTTGGGGGTACATTTAGAACGAGATTTATGGATTTGTTGTTGAAACCCGCGGGGGATTCTGAGGACTCGGTGAGGCGGTTCAGTTGTTGACGTTGCTCGGGGGGATCTGGGTATGGGGTACCTCGGAGACGCTGGGAAAACCAGAAACCCGAGGCGAAACCTGCTATCAGGGAGAAGAAGCAGGTGCCGATCAGCGCGCCGGTTAGGGTTTGCGCTGAGTAGACGGCTGGGGTTACTATAACTCCTGAAAATATTAGATGAGTTAGAGATCGTTTGGGGCGTTGGGTTGGCGTGGATTGACGAATTCTTGGATCGAGAGGATTTTTTTATTTTTTTAAGCTTTGTTTTCCTTCCGATGCCTTTGTAACTTGGGGAATGGACTCCACGTCGATTCACTTTTGATGTCACTGCGCATCTTACTGCGCAGGATGTGCATGCGCAGTACGTTTAGTTGGTGAGAATGGAGGAAGACGAGGAGCGCTAGAAAGCGCGAGCCGTTGTTTGAGCGTTTAATTGATGTAAAAAACTATGTGAGTTCCAACGGCGAACATTAATTTAGTTTCACTGATGTTTGAGGGAATTTTGTCATTGAAAATTCAAAATTTCAAGAAAAGATCAATGGAAACCGTCAATTTTAGTGCAATTATTCAATGAAATGTATGCTCGAATTCATTGAAATTCCAGTCGAATTTGGTAATGATTACTCGTAAAATTAAATTAAATTTTGAATGAAATTTATTGCAAGAAAAATACACAAAAAAAAAATTTCTTACAATAAGCCATCGCTAGGGGGCCTTCAGCCACGATTACTCGTATTTTATTGAAAATTCGAATAAGTATGGGAATTCTCGTCTTCCTCCTGCTCAAAAATTTATAATTTCTTCAAATTCTCAGTGAAATCTGAAATTCCATGATTGTTCTCCCTAAATCGAATCAAACGTGAAATTGTCTATGAAATTTAAAATGTCATCGCTTTCTGCAAATTTTATGACAATGTTTGAAATGTCCTAGGGAATTATTCATCTATAGAACAATATGAAAAATTTCCCAACATTTCATCGCAAGTATGAATTCTCAATCAAGAATTCGTCGCTCCGTAAAATCGACAGCACCCCAGAATATTCAGTGGAATTATCGACTGTATGTATTTGTTTCAGTGTTAGTAAGAAAAATTGACCATGAGAAATTAAAAAACTCTCTTCTCCGTCTGTTAATTTCAAATTGCGATTGAAAACGATAAGGATGCATAACAAACATTGAACGCAGGCGAAAGTTTTGCTTTGTGATGATTGTAGTGTCTTTTCTTTCTCATAAAGTTAGTTTGACAATTTTTGAGGAAATGAATAGCGGAGTTGGGTGCAAATCAAAAGTTGGTGTTCTGTACTGTCTCTGTGTTGGAAATTGTTCAACATGGGGAATGAGCATTACCTTGAGGCTCGTTAGCTCTTGGCTGAGTGCGACTGTACTGATTTTCACGATCCAATTCGATGACGATTTCATTGTCCCTTTCGTCGGGCTGCTCACCACGTCCTACTCTAGGTGGTACCACTGGTAACACTGGTTTCGCCATCTCCGAGACAATATTCACTGGTCGAAGAGGATAAGATGATAATACATAGAAGACACGAATGTGAATAATGATTGGTTTAAAGACTATTTAACTGAGAAGATGAATTCATTTAATTATCACAAATTTACATCATTAAAAAATTAAAAACGACGCTTGTCTCTTAAAAAAATAATTTACGTTGTTACTTTCAGCAGCTGAACCAAGCGTTAAATTATGAGAAGTCGTTCAACAAATTTTGTTTTTATTATTTCACAAACAGCTTTGATATCATGCCTTCTGGAGCTATCAGCAAAATAATAACAACTTCCCTTTCTAATTAAATTCTCACGGTTATTCAACTTGAATTATCGTATCGTATTCATCCAACTTTGATTAGCCAATAAAAGACCAATTAAACTCTCGCCCTAACTTGACGAAAGAACCATTAAACAGAAGCCATCTTCTTAATTAAAAACCACGAACAATAAAAAAGCACAAGAAGTATTAGTTTTTTCGGGGAAACTTGTACTAGGACAATTGCGAGTGAATTAAAGTATTAGCTAACAGACAACGAAAGAAAATTAGGTTGAAACGATTTCTAGAGGAGTAGTTAGAAGAGTAGAGTGAGACCGGATGGTGCTGGGAGGCTGGCGATTTGCGGAAGATAAATTTACAAGGCGAAAATGATGAAACATGTCTTACCCTGCTGATAACCACATCCCTTGTGTTTTCCATTGATAATATCTTGGAATAGTGTTTTGCTGGCATCATTATCGTGCAACTTTGTTGGCACAGCGACGCATGTATGTGTCATTTCGTCCCAGGCGCAATGCGGATCCTGAAGTGCGACGCAGGCAACGCAAGAATTTGCTGTTGGACTGTCGCAGTGGTGCAGGGGCACTGCTCTTATTTCAGAATCAGCTATAACAACTAGTTTACTTGCTTCACCGGCAAGGTGAACTACTTGGAGATCTTTTATTGCTGTACCTGAAGAGGAAAATAATTGTGCAAAATGAAAATTATCGCAATTTGACGGTTGAGATGGACCAAATGGACTATATAGAGGTGCTAAAGGGATCTTATTTCACTTTTTAAGGAAATTATCAAATGGAGAAGATCGATTGTAGCCCAAGTGCGCCCTTATCAACGAATTTTAATTGCCTTTCGCGCTAGGCAAGTACCTACACACTTTTACTTTTGCTGCGATAGTTGGGCAGTAGAGTGCGCTAATTGTATGCATACAAAATGGTCGGTACGCATACTAAATCATTACAAGTATGTTACTTGCCTAGCGTATACTTCCTCAATAAGAAAACTAATGATCACTAAATTTTCTATTTTTCACAAAACTATTGCTATGAATTCTTATTCCAGAATTAACTATAAGAACTAGTTTCTTTGCTTCACCGGCAAGGTGAACTACTTCGAAGTCTGTTATTGCTGTACCTCAAGGGGAAAATAATTGTGAATAATGAAAATCATCGCAATTTAATGGGTGAGATGGACCAGATGGACTATATAGAGGTACTAAAGGGATCTTATTTCACTTTTTAAGGAAATTACCAAATGGAGAAGATTGATTGTAGCCCAAGTGCGCCCTTATCAACGAATTTTAATTGCCTTTCGCGCTAGGCAAGTACCTACACACTTTTACTTTTGCTGCGATAGTTGGGCAGTAGAGTGCGCTAATTGTATGCATACAAAATGGTCGGTACGCATACTAAATCATTACAAGTATGTTACTTGCCTAGCGTATACTTCCTCAATAAGAAAACTAATGATCACTAAATTTTCTATTTTTCACAAAACTATTGCTATGAATTCTTATTCCAGAATTAACTATAAGAACTAGTTTCTTTGCTTCACCGGCAAGGTGAACTACTTCGAAGTCTGTTATTGCTGTACCTCAAGGGGAAAATAATTGTGAATAATGAAAATCATCGCAATTTAATGGGTGAGATGGACCAGATGGACTATATAGAGGTACTAAAGGGATCTTATTTCACTTTTTAAGGAAATTATCAAATGGAGAAGATCGATTGTAGCCCAAGTGCGCCCTTATCAACGAATTTTAATTGCCTTTCGCGCTAGGCAAGTAGCTACACAACTTTAATTTTGCTGCGATAGTTGGGCAGTAGAGTGCGCTAATTGTATTCATACAAAATGGTCGGTACGCATACTAAATCATTACAAGTATGTTACTTGCCTAGCGTATACTTCCTCAATAAGAAAACTAATGATCACTAAATTTTCTATTTTTCACAAAACTATTGCTATGAATTCTTATTCCAGAATTAACTATAAGAACTAGTTTCTTTGCTTCACCGGCAAGGTGAACTACTTCGAAGTCTGTTATTGCTGTACCTCAAGGGGAAAATAATTGTGAATAATGAAAATCATCGCAATTTAATGGGTGAGATGGACCAGATGGACTATATAGAGGTACTAAAGGGATCTTATTTCACTTTTTAAGCAAATTACCAAATGGAGAAGATTGATTGCAGCCTGAGTGCGCCCTTATCAACGAATTTTAATTGGCTTTCGCGCTAGGCAAGTAGCTACACAACTTTAATTTTGCTGCGATAGTTGGGCAGTAGAGTGCGCTAATTGTATTCATACAAAATGGTCGGTACGCATACTAATTCATTACAAGTATGTTACTTGCCTAGCGTATACTTCCTCAATAAGAAAACTAATGATCACTAAATTTTCTATTTTTCACAAAACTATTGCTATGAATTCTTATTCCAGAATTAACTATAAGAACTAGTTTCTTTGCTTCACCGGCAAGATGAACTACTTCAAAGTCTGTTATTGCTGTACCTCAAGGGGAAAATAATTACGCTTTAATGAAAATCATCGCAATTTAACGGATGAGATGGACAAGATGGACTATATACAGGTACTCAAGGGATCTTATTTCACTTTTTGAGGAAATTATCAAATTGAGAAGATTGATGGTAGCCCGAGTGTGCCCTTATCAAAGAATGTTAATTGTATTTCGCGCTAGGCAAGCACCTACACCAGGGACAAGATGAACTGTATTGAGGTACTCAAAGGATCTTATTTCGTTTTTGGAAAATATTATCAGATGGAGAAAATTAATTATACCCCGAATGCGCCCTCATCAACGAATTTTAATTGCATTTCGATAAATCCTTTCTCAATGAAAAAACTAATGATCACTGAATTTTCAATTTAGCACGAAACTATCCCTATAAATTCGTAATTACAAACAGCGTGAGACGCTCGTTTTCCCCAGAAAATTTCAATAATTATCCGATCGCCTCTCGAAGCTATTCTCTCCTTTCGATTGATCATCCGTTGGCGATCCAATTAAATTTAAAGGGATCTAAAATTAAGAAGAAAAAAGACTGAAAAAACTCACCGTATCGAAGCACTTGAACGTCGCTCACAATGACCTGGCCGACTTCGGTCAGTGAGTCTGGTGCTTTTGTGTTCAGTGCCTTTATAACTCTACCGTCGTCTGAAAGAGGCAACATAATGGTTTTAAAAATTGCATCAAAGATATCAAGAGAAATTTAAACTTATTGTGGGGGTAATGGTTGCCATTTCGCTATTGTAAGGAAACCACTGGGTTTTCCACTGTTACCAATCACGGAATATTCATGAATCCTGACGTGATTGATTTGGCTTGAAATTTTTTCATTGCTCGATATAAAATGTGAATGACGTAGACATGAATTCTAACATGATCCTTCATGCAGAAGCATCTCAATACTCAAAAAATTCTATTCTAATCCAGAGTGTTCCATTTTGAAATGGAATATTTCTTAATTTCCTAAGAAATCAATCAATTATTCAAAATTGCTATTTAACCTGCTCAATTTATAATCAAAAATGGTCGAAATAGATTGAAAATTTGTAATTGAAATATCGTTTTTTTTGTTCAGCGATTGGTTTTCAGCGAGAGAACAATAGATTCCCCTCCGTCTCACCTCCTACATGTCCACCCCGCCATAAATACCTTAACGCGACGCAACGCATAGATACGTGAGAATATTTCTCAAATATTAAATACTTTCGTTAATCTCACCTGTCCCAATGTACAAAATATCGTAAGTCCTCCCGTCCAGCGCTTTAACTTGCGGATCAACAGCAACCTTAGTAAATCTATAATTAAAACTGACTTTCGTCAGAACAGGCAGTGCAAAGAACGATTGTACAGCGTCATCCATCAGCGGATGGGTTTTAACAAAATTCACTGTTATATCTGGAAGTGTTCTGGAATCATTGACACATGCACCTGGACGTGGCTCCGGTACTTTCTCCGGTAGTACTCTCAGCCAATTACTATTTATCGTCTCTTGCTCCTTGAATGCGCCCTGGAAGACCTCGAGAACACTGCTCATGGCGAATGCACACACTGCTGATCCCCCAATTGAATTCACTGGGGTTGTGAAAATACCGTAAATCAATTGATCGTGGCGGCCAGCGTAGAAGCCCTCTGTTACGTCGCTCATTGATTCTGAAATGAAATGGATTAACATAAAATGATTGAATGATGCGGGAGAGAATTGAATCATGTTTTCCTTTGCGGCTCGGGGATGGGGAGTAATGGCTTGCTCTTGGATTCGATACATTGGAGACGTTTTCAATCCTTTTTATTTTATGAGCCCTGGGATTTCTGGAGAATTGGATTTCTAGGGGGAGGGGGGGGGAGTAGTCGTTTGAAGTTTCGAACGAAGAGGGGCTTATTTAGTTCAGAGGAAAACGGAGTTTTGGGTTCTTGATGTCTGCTTTTCGGTTGATGGATTTGTGAGGGAATGAATTAGTCTTCGTGATTCACAGATGAATTATCATCATTTATGGAAGTAAACTTGTGAGAGATAGTGTACAAATAAGAGTGAGTGGATTTAGGAGAAAATATCTGAAGATTTCGTTGCGGAAAATTTTTTGAGTTGGAATAAATTCAGTTGCGAAGCGTTAAACGGTTCAATTCGATTTGGACTATTCACTTTTCAATGAATATCTCGGAATGTACGGCGAATGGCGAAATTTTTGTTATAACCTTTTCTGTAGAGCAATTTGGAAGCTACAACAAAGGTTATTATGAAAATTTCATCATCTCCCTTAGGTTTGGAGATATTCTTTGAATAGTCAGCTAGGAGCGAAGTCGACTTGAATCGTTTTACCGCTTTGCTACTGAATTAGGGATTTTTTAATGAAAAATGAATTTCTAGTGGTCTTTTGTAGATCATCAATCCATTCTCCGATGAATTATGAGTGAATTTACGAAAATATATCTGAAGATTACTTTATGAGAAGCTTCTTCGTATAGAAGAAATACAAATTTTTTAATAAGAGAATGAATTTCCATTGATTTTCCATAATTAATCAATTCATTCTCAGATGAATTATGATAATTGACGGAGCTAAATTGATGAGGGACGAGATATAACCAATAATGAGCGGATTTCGAAAAAATTATCTAAACATTTCTTCATAAGAAATTTTTTCACCTAGAAAAAATTAAAAATTTTCACTAAGAAAATAAATTTCCATTGATTTTCGATCATTAATCAACTCATTCTCAGATTAATTATAATCATTTATGTAAACTCGTCAAGGGTGGGGAATAAACAACGAAAACATTTAGGGAAAATTATCAAAAAATTTCTTTGACAAAATTTTATTATCTGGAAAAAAATATAAATTTTCATGAAAAAAATCAACTCCCAGTGATTTCCCGTAATTAATCAACCCATTCGCAGATGAACTATGATCATTAATGAAAGTAAATATTTGAGGGATGAAATGCAAACAATTACGAATGGATTTGGGAAAAATGATTTAAAGATTTCTTTACAAGAAATTCTTTTACCTATAAAAACTGATAAATTTGAAATAAAAAGAACGGATTCCCGCAAAATTTCCCTAATTAACTGACGCATAATTTCAAAAAATACTTTGAATTTTGTTGTAAAAATTATTTTCCAGATTTGATACTATAATTCCCCTAAATACGTAATTCACTGATGCTCCGTAATGGTATTCCCGCCTTCGTCACCCCAATATCCCCAATACCATTTACTCCCTCAGAAATATAAAAACTACCATCATTTCTCTTCCCTCCCATTTTCCCAGATTCAATACATTACGTTTTAATATCGAAATGAACAAAAAATACCTCTCCAAGTTGGAAATATGAACTATCGTCCACATCCCCCATATTCTTTTCAATTCCCAGAAAATTGATGGATACGTTTTCTCAACCAACGAAGTTTCAAGAAAAATTTAACTCTCATGCTACATTTCACAATGCCGTTGGTATACTTGCACCGTGATATTTTTCAAGGCCCTGCCCCTCCACCCATGAGGAAAACTTTTCGACAATTTCCAATATTCCCACGCTCGTATGTGGTACACAGCGATCTGAACGTCAACTGTGCGAAGAACTGGAGGAAGAGAAAGAAAAAGAAAAAAAAATAGAGAAATAAAAACGAGAAAATGAAAAAAAATGGTGAGGAGGATGTCCTCGACGTTCGGAAGTTCCTGGTGCTCCAATCGGATTTGGTATTCCAACTCTGGGGTATCTTCAACCAAAGCTAAAGTTGACACTGTGATGCTTACGAGTCAAAAAGTTTCGCGGGATATTGAGGAGTCTTTTTGTTCAACAACTTTTGCGCTTTGAATCAAATCGCCCGGGAAGATTAGATAGGAAATTCGTGTCGTCGTTCAAAACCGGGGATTTATCGCTGTTTTAGCGAATCTAGTTAATTGTGGAAAGCAAAGTTTGCGTTAATTGGTGGAGATTTTTTTTTCGGGGCATGAGAGATGGCTTCGGCGATCGCCGGCTTGGGGAGTCGGTAATTAAGGGCGAACAGCCGTTGGGATTTTTTTTCGTGCAGCTGCGAAGGGTTTTATTGTTTTTTCAGGGGCTGCTTGGGGTGGGGAATTAGCACTTGGGAAGGATTTCATAATTTATTTTGCGGGTTCCACGGGAAAGTTGGAATTAATTCGAGGGAGTGGGAGGATGCGGTCGGGATTTCACAGTTTTTTAAAAATTTGAATCGTATATTTGTTTTAACTGATGAATTGATGATGAGAATTGATGAGAATTATTAAAGATGTTGTAGAAGGAGATTATTTATAATTAATGCATTGTTTTAGGCATTGTATGGCGGAAATTTTTTTCACCTTCTCCAGTTGAGACTCAATTTCTAAGTCGTGACATTTTTCAGATTTTCGGCATGATAAAAATTTCATGCAGAAAATTTTGCAGAATTTTAATTACACAGAGGTAAGGTTTTGCTGATACAGGTTGTGTATGAATTTTTGAAACATGCTGGAAATATTTATGGTCGCATCATCTCTCTTATGAAAGACGCTTTCATAGAAATAATTTAGTAGAGATGTGTCGACTGAGATCTCTCATCTCGGTAATTATAGAGAATTGATGAAAGTTAAAAATGTAGTAGACGGAGATTTATTAATTATTCATAGATTATTGAAGGAATATTATGAGGTCAAAATTTGTCACCGTTCCCAGTTGAGAATCAATCTTTAAATTGCGATATTTTTAATATTTTCTTCATGATGAAAATTCCATGCAGAACATTTTGCAGAATTTAAATTAGGGTAACCAGAGTAATAAAATTTCAACTTTGTTTGGTATTCTATAAAAAATATAATAGAAATTGTATTACAAATTTCCATTTTTGACAATCCAACTAATGTATAATTAAACCGATAATTTTCTTATTTTTCATTGATCAACATTTTGAACGTAAACAAATACAAATTCTCGCGAGGTACAATATTGACCCTCAGTGGCGGTGTGAGGAGTTAGACAACAGTCACGCATTATTGACGGAGCAATGTGAAAAAAAAAGTCATCAAGACAAAAGTACACGGTATCTCTTCGATTAGTATTAGCGAAAAGGATCATTCTTCCTCTTTAATCGTACAAAAGGACGAATTTGTTTGAATAACCGTTAAATACGACCGTCTATCTATTGGGTGTGTGCGCTGCATCCTACTTTTTCGTCATTTTATCATTCATTCCTTCATTGTTTTCACTTCAAATCATTATTTTCCCATAATTCATATATTTTTTCAGAACCAATCGTTGGCGTATTAAGGTGATTTATCAATTTCCGATCTCTTGACGGACCTCAAATTGTCCTTAATTGTCTATCTATGGGTCTGGTTACCCTATATGTAGTGTATACAGACGTAGGGTTTTACTAATATAGACAATGTATGAATTTTTGAAACATTTTGGAAATATTTCTGGCCGCATCATCTCTTTCATGGAAAAACCTTTTCTAGAAACGTGTCGACTGACATCGCCGACCTCGGTAATTATAGAGAATTGTGAGAACTTTTAAAAAACGTCGTAGAGGGAGATTGACTCATCATCAATAGATGACTTCGGGAATCTTATGAGGTTACATTTTTTTTCACCATTGCCAGTTGAGAATCAATTTTGTGATATTTGTGAGACTTTCTTCACGATAAAAGTTTCAAACAGAAATGTCTGCAGAATTTCAATCACACAGACACAAAGTGTTACTGACATTGATAATGTATGAATTTTTGAAACATTTTGAAGCTATTTCTTGTCACATAAGGTTTTACTAATGTATAGAATGCATGAATTTTTCAAATATTCTGAAACTACTTCTGGCTGGGGTACTATATGTAGTAGAAAAGTGTCGGACGTGCTCAGACTGAAATATCTCATCTCGGTAATTATAGAGAATGAATGGAAATTTTTTTAAATGTCGTAGGAAATTATTAATCGATCATTTTCAGAATTTTATGAGGACAAATTTTTTTCACTATCCCAAGTTGATAGTCAATTTTTATATTCTGACTTTTTTCAGATTTTACACACGTTCAATGATAAAAATACAAGTTTTTGTTGATGTACAGAATGTATGAATTTTTTAAATATTCGGAAACTATTTCTGGCCGTATCATCTCTCATGGAAGAAACTCAGAAATAATTTAGTAGAAAAGTGTCGAACCTGTTCAGACTGATGTCTCTCATCGCGGTAACTATAGAGAATTGATGGAAATTTTTTCAAATGTCGTAGGAAATTTCTTCATTATTAATTGATCATTTTCAGAATTGTATGAGGACAAATTTTTTTCACTATCCCAAGTTGATAGTCAATTTTTATATTCTGACTTTTTTCAGATTTTACACACGTTCGATGATAAAAATACAAGTTTTTGCTAATGTACAGAATGTATGAATTTTTTAAATATTCTGAAACTATTTCTGGCCGTATCATCTCTGATCGAAGAGAATTTTATGGAAAATATTTAGTAGAAAAGTGTCGAACCTGTTGAGACTGACAGAAATTTTTAAAAATCTCGTAAGAGATTTAATTTTTCTTCACTATTAATTGATTATTTTGAGAATTTTATGGGGACAAATTTTTTGTACTGTCCCAAGTTGATAGTCAATTTTTAAGTTCTGACATTTTTCAGATTTTGCACACGTTCAATGATGAAAACACAAAGTTTGGACGTATGAATTTTTCAAATATTCTGAAACTATTTCAGGCCATATCATCTCTCATGGAAGAAACTTTCATAGGAATAATTTAGTAGAAAAGTGTGGGAGCCGTTCGAACTGATATCTCTCAGCTCGGTAATTATAGAGCAATCTCTCTAATCGAATGATTCTAGGAGAGATCATGGCAAGAAATTTCCTGTGACAGATGTGTCAACTTCAGAAACTGTCTTCATATATCATTCGAAACCATTTGCCCTCAAGATCATCACATGATTAACAGTCGACTCGCGTCTGCCCTGAAACGTTTTACCACTTCACAACTCAATTCCTAATTCCCGACTTCCTCAATTCTTGATTCCCACGACGTAAAATGCCCTGAAATATTCATGAATTCTGAAATAATCCATCGCCGCGAGAAGAATCTGTTAAAAAATATACTTGGACTGGAGTTTTTCATGCAATTTTTTCATTACTGAATATGAAAATTAAATAAAAAAACTTGAGAAGGTTTTTTTTTATTTTGATTGTAATGCACACATTGATTTTCTACTGGAAAAAAACATTGAAATTTCGTTGACAGTGTAATCATAATTTTAAGAAAAACGACATTATATCGAATGCAGAGAAAAAAATTGAAATTTCTCTGAAAGTTCAATGAAAAATCAATTTTTGTTTACCAGCAGGGAAGTAAGATTTTCCAATTAACTGATTGATTTCTTGACTATTAAATTGATTTCAGTGAAACTATCACATGATGAAATCTTTTTTCGAATTGTCCTACTTCATTATTCAATTTAATAAACAGATCTCATGCCAATTACCAGAATTCTAATACAAAATACAATGACACCAGTGAAAATCCCGATATTTCATCGAAATTCCTACCTTGAAAGACCAATAAATCGTATAATTCGCTCCGTATTAAGGATGTTCGACACCCTTTTAGCCAAAATTGACGTTGTTTTCATTTTTCTGGCAAATTATCGATGGGAGTGACGTGAAAAAATATAACGATTTTGTGGTTTGTCATTCTTTAATGGCTGACGAAGTTGCGTAGTGGTGCGATAATTTTCATGCGTTATTTCTACAGTTGTGTGATTCTTTTTAAAAGTTTAGAGAAAACGCAGGAAAATGTTCGCACCACCTTAAAATTTCGTCAGTCATTAAATAATGACAAAACGCAAAAACGTTATATTTTTTCACGTCAATTCCATCATAAGTTTGCCAGAAAAATTAAAAAAACGTGAATTTTGGCAGAAAGGGTGTAGAACATCCTTAAAGAAATATAATAAAAACCTGATATTTCCCATCTTCTCTAACCACCCCTAATTACAAAATACGCCCCAAGAAAACTTCACCAATTCCCAAACTCCCCACCCATAATTTTCCTCTACGACGACTCAAATTAGCATTCACATAAACGGCCTCATTATTTTTACATTAAATTGCAAATTTTCAATGAAGAAATTCCACGAAATTTTAGTGGAACTATCACGTGATGCTAATTTCTAAGACCTGTGCCGCAGATTTCAACCAAAAATATCTAACAGCGCTCAATTAGCGGTAGATATGCAGAAAGACTCTACCGCACATTTCTTCAGTGCATATTTACCCAACGAGACCGAATGCGCGCTACAGCGCGCTGTAATTGTAACAATCATAATTGAAAATCTCAAAATGAAATTAATCATGAATTAAATTTGCCGCCCCAGACGACTGAAACCAATGAGGAATAAGCGTGACAGACTTGCGAGATATCGATAGTTATCGATTTTAAGTGTACGTTCTTTTTAGAATAAGATTAGCTGTCACTTCCGAGTTTTTTCAGGACAGAATTGAAAAAAAAACGTATTGTGTGTTTTCAAAATGAAAAAAAGTATCAACTCGTTTTCTTCTTAATGTTCGTATTTCATAATTCAGTTGAACAAAAAAAAATCTCATGCAACAGTCCAATTACCAGAATCCTAGTAGAAAATGCAATGACTAGTAAAAATTCCGATATTTCATAGAAATTCGTGTCCAGAGAGACCAATAAACCACATAATTCCCTCTGTGTTGAAGAAATACAATAAAAACCTAATATTTCCCCAATTTCCCTAACCACCCCTAATTACAAAACGCGCTCCAAGAAAAATCCGCCAACTCCCAAACTCCCCACCCATAATTTTCCTTTATGACGACTAAAATTAGCGTCCGCATAAACCGCCTCATTATTTTTACCCTCAAATATATTTTCCCAAGACTAAAACCCACTAAATAACAATAAAGTAAGGCGGACGGTAAAATACCTTGAGGAGATTACAGTGAGTTGGTGGAACGAGCAAGAGAGAGAGAGAGAGAGAGTGAGAGAGAGAGCGCACGAAGGCGCAACGGAAAATAGCCATTGTTTCAAATTTACAGTGCATCGGGTAGAAAAAGCCCTTAAGGCTTTCCATTTCAAGCCCTCGTCCCTCCCCGCACCCCTTCGTGCCCCAACCACCCTGATGAAAGCTATGGTCCTTGTATATTGTGAACGTGAACACACGGTTGTGCACTCGAGAGGAGCAAGCGTCTAGCCAGAATCCAAGACGTACATCTGGCTGTTGGCCAGCTCCAGTCCAGTCGCATCGGATACCTTGGATTTTCGATTCAACGTGCACACCCGATCCACCCCCACTGTCTCCTTTAAAACTTCCTATTTTTCCTATTTTTCCAGGCGTTTTCCTTTTTCATCTCATTTTGTTCGATTTTTTTTTGTTGATTTCAGTGCCAGCTAGTCTGTCGCGTCGTGGGGGGATTCGATCGAAAAGTTGGCCCTTTTCCTTCAGCGGTATCTGGGATTTTGGATGAGGAATCGAGGAGGGCAGATTCTCGGTCGAGTGGCTCCGTATTTTTGGGGAGTTATTGGGATGCCCGCTGCCAAGTGCGATAATTCGTTTGTACGGGCGGGAATAATTGTGAGGGGCTGGGGATACTTTGTTGGCGGGGGAGGCATTGGCACGTTGTTGAGGGTTTTTAGAGGTTTTATTGATGATCGGGGGTTTTTGGGTTGAATTGGGAGAGGGAGAGAAATTTTCTGTGATTGATGCTCAGGACTGGGGGGAATGCGGATTTTTTAGATTTGGGGGTGACAGAACGTAAAATTTTCAAATTGCAAGGGAGAATTGAGGTGAATGGGCCTATACTGTCAACTACATGGAGAGAAAATTCGGAGAAAAATTACCGAACAAGTCAAGTAATCGTGGAGTGAACTCGATTTTCAGTACTTGTTCACTCTCACCCCCAGGAAAATTTATAAACTGTAAAACTTACCCTGCATTCGTAAAAAAAAATATCCCAGTGAACGTGAATGATTGCACAATGCAGATCCAATAAAAAACTTTATTTGAAATGTTTTACTTATTTCATGAATATTTTTGTCACAAATGTCATGAAATCATTTGTTACAAATGATTCAATCATATTATGCAAACAATTTACTTTTTTCAATTGTTTGTTGAAAAATGTGCGTGGAAAATTTTACTGTATAACAGGAGGATAATTTTTGCATCCATAGATGTTTTTTTACCGAACGAATCGTCAAATATCCTCCACTAACCGGTATTTTTTCATTGAATTACATTTCGCTCCACGATTACTTTTCGTACAATGAAATTTGCCCCGATTTTCTAGGAAATTTTTATCCAACTTTTTCACGTGAATAAGTTTTTTCTCTTTCACTTTCAAATTTCAAAATTCACTATTTTCTGCCGTCAATAACTTTCTTCATCAACTAAAATAATTACTCCAATGATATTTCACTCTCAAAGTTTTCTCAACCATGAAAATGATTGAAATGCGCCCCATTTTCTTTATCACGACAAAAGCTATTTTTTGACATTTTCCGGTAGAAATTGGTTTTCATTGACACATTTCAAGATGCAGTAAAATGTGTGAAATTTCGCTACTAAAATAACGCGGATTGCATGGATTTCAGGAGATTCAATATCTGAAGGAAAATTGATCAACTAAATGACAAACTGTATTAAACTGCTGCACGAGAACCGACTTGTCCATCAAATATTTTTGGCTTGACATGGCATTTCACCATGAACGGAAAAGAACGGAGTAGAGCTTCTTTAGTACTCACGGATTTCGTTAAAATAGAAAGGATATTCTCCCGGCACAGAGCAATTGAGTCTCGCTTTCAGGAAACTCGTCCATCTGTCGCTAAATGCGTGTGGGCCACCTTTGTCATGCTGACATACTCTCCCGACTCGTGAATACACCGCCTGGAAATAATCAATTTTATTAGTGGGAAGATCGAATGTGAGTTATAAAAATCTCGAAGATTTCTTGTGCTAAGGCCCGGTTGCACCAAGCCCTGTTATCCAAATAAACCTCAGGGTAAAATTTATCCTCGAGGTCAATTACACCGTAGGGATGAATTTTGCAACATTTGACCCGAAGAATAATTTTTTATTTATCCTATAGCCCCATTTGAATTAATACTGATTTAGCCTTGGAATTAAGGATGTATTACACTCTTTTCGCCAAAATTCACGTTTTTTGAATTTTTCTGGGAAATTGTTGATCGGATTAATGTGGAAAAATATACCGTTTTTGCGTTTTATTATTATATTACATAATGACTCACGAAATTTCATGATCGTGCAATCATTTTCCTGCGTTTTTTCTAAAACCTTTCGGAAATTCACAAAACTTTAGGAAAAATGCAGGAAAATGATTGCACTACCATGAAACTTCGTGAGTCAGTCCATAATGATAAAACCCAAAAACGGTATATTATTTCGCGTCAATCCGATCAATAATGTGCCAGAAAAATGAAAAAAACGTGAATTTTTGCCGAAAGGGTGTAGTACATCCTTAAACTTTATTTTTTGTTCCTGGGATAAATTTGAGATACTTTCCCGGGTAAAATAATCCATCGAACATACAAATTTACTTTTTTCTTATCTGGCGTTTTCGTTCCCCGGAGCTGGTGCAACCGGGCCTAATTCTGTTCGATTTTTCGAGTTATTTTGAAGGACCTCGAATAGGGTAAACGCACTAGTGTTCGAACTCGTCCAGTGATTGACCTAATTTATCTATTTATCGTAGAACAAATGCTCAATGCAGTGAAATGGGACTCTTGTCTTTTTTAAAAACCAATATGAACAATGCAGGGACAGGCAATAATATTAGATTTTGAGAATATTAAAAAGGATTATCTCCTTATATTGTTCAAAGTTTAACTATATTTAACAAATTTAAAATATTATAGAATTTATAAGCTAAATTTTTTGATTGATGATGAATAAAATATTTGATAATAGTGAAATGTAATTTTTTAGTTAACAACTAATTCTAACTCTAGGTACTTGATTTTCGATTGTCCAAATAATCGTTAATCGTCCTACCTAAATTATTGGTTGATAGAATATTTCGAAATTTAAATGTACAAATTGATGGTTACTTTAATGCTTGAAATTTTTAAGATTTATATTAAAAATTGACAACTTCACAATTTAACGGTAATTATGATTGATTGATATGCCTATCACTGGAATAATGAATAATGTTCATGAATTCAATGAGACCTGGTGAAAATTTCCCATATTATTGAATCTTGATCTTTCGATAATTGGTATTTGATGGCTTTTATTCATTCGAACACTGGACAGGTCACCCTACTTAACATTCATAAATATTGTAATCATTCAGTGGAATAATCACAGGGAATAATATTCCCACAGTTTTAGTTGTGTCTTCACCCAATTTAGGTTCTTGTAACTGCAATTGATGAATAAATCAATTATCTATATTTAATCATTCGAAAGCCCCGAAGGTTTTTCAGATATTTCTTATATCGAGGCGACAATATTAATAATTTTCACTAATTTTCTCCACAGTTCTCTTTTCAAGTAATATGAAATATTTCATCTATAGTTCACTTGATTAGATTAGGGCGATTACACTTTTCTTTTTTCATTCGATTGAAAGTCAGCATCACATTTTCCTTTTTCCCCTTTTGGGTCTTCCCCTGCCCTGCGAGAAAAATAAACACTTTGTCAAACAAGTCTTGTTTGGGCCAACAAAATCGCTAATTGAAAATTGCTAAAAGAGAATTAGGTTGGTTCGAATTTGAAAGTCTCAAACATGAATAATTGTTAATTCACACCAGACGGTGCCTTTTCAGGATGAAAATATCTCATATAGAGGAAAATTTATCAACAAATATTTTATCCCGAAGTTTTCTTGGCACAAGTAAGACTTGTTTGAGAATTTTGTCGTTTTTCTCTCAGTGCGGGCCTTCCTCTGGCCTTTGGATTTTGCTGTTTCATTTTCTTTTCAATTAATCCATTGACAGAATCTTCGCCCGTCAAAACTCCTCAGTCATTTTCCATTCTACTGAATGGAAAATTATTATTCTCATCAGTACTCCCAATAATAAAAAAAAAGTTAATAAACAAAAGTTGATGAACAAAATTTTTTTTGCTTGGATTACGTCAAACATTTGTCTTTCGAGTTCCGCTTCAAGTTCTGGTAACAGCAATTAATAAATTATGTTGATGAATAATGAAAAAATTCTGCAATTTATTCCACGAATGGTAGTCTCATCCAAACTATTCTCACCCTACATTCAAATACTTCTCCATCCTCACGAATAATTTGTAAGATCGTTATCCAAACGTACTAAATAAACATAACTTCCATAAAACTTACCTTTCCACAATTCATATATTCAACAGCAGTTTCTCGGTAGAAGAAGAATACGTAATCGCCATAAGCGAAAGAGCTAACGAAATTCGGTCCTGAAATAACAAGTTTTCAAGTTAAAATCCTCAGTCAATATCCAAAAATCCACAGAGATTTCGCTTCGCGTATTTGACCAGTGTCTCACCGTTCAATTGATTGAGATCAGAGCGTTCAGTTCGAATTCTCTCGCGATGGATTAATGGTTCGCCGCCGGAAAAGTCAGCCACGGTCGCTGCGTACAACTGTCCACCTGCAAACAAAACGAAAAAAAAATATTATCTCAATATCTCTGTGTGTAATTATTCGATACGGGAGAGTGTAAATTTCGATTATCTCGGTAATTATTCAGCCATTGATATTCCAGTTAAATACTGATGCATTTGCAGCAAAATTCAGTGAAAGGTTTATTTATGCGAGTGGGAATGGCGACCTATTTCGAAATATTCTGGTGAATTTTTTAATGAAAAGTAGCGCCGAAGTTATTCCTAAAGATCTTCCTTTTTCAATTAATTGTTTATGATCAAATTCATTGCAAAAAGCAATACAACCGATGATAATCAGATGTGCTCATTTATATGCTGTTCAATTTTCACATTACAATAAGCGATTTGCTCATGTTCTAATTTCTATGCTCACTGAATAACATTCCTATTTTACTAAAGATGAAAGAAACGTGAAGATGTTTTATATCAAAATATGTCGAAACTGCCTGACCGCTAATCCTTAATTCTGATTGGTCAATATGTGACACGAAGTTATTCACAAAAAAAAA